ATCATGCACCTCGGTGTTTTCGGGGGGTTCTAACTGTTATGATGGTTTTTGTAGGGCCTTCTCGAAGAGATTCGCAAGTTCTTTCTTGCTCTCTTCGCTCGCCCCCTTCTTCTGAGGGGTGGAGGTCCTTTGAGGATTTTCCTCCTTCCGCCCCACAGAAGTCGATCGGGGACCGGCTCCTTTGGATGGCGTCCGCTTGGGCTTGCGTTTTGGCCCTTGTTGGGCTCTCGCCGCCCTATGCTCGCCCGAGTCCATCGAGACGTCGCCTTCGACTTGAGGCGAGTCGAGCTTATCGACGATAGTTGAGACCCTTTTAATGTGCTCGTCGTGTCAACAGATTTAGGCTGTCATCGGGGGGATCTCTTCATGGGACGACTCATCAAGAGTCGAACTCGGCTCCGGCTCCGGAGGTCGCCGTTGTCAGAAATGCCGCGGTCGCGATCGAATCCGGTACAGTGAGATCTGAATACCGTCATGATGACGAAATCATGCGATGTCCCTACTACACTGCTGCATGGGAACGCGAAACTCTGCAATTCCGGCGTGTCTCCCTCCAAAACGTGTACCGCCATGCTTGTAAGGTGGATGAGAGGCTCCGCTTTCTGCGGCATTCGGAGATTGTCAAGGCCACCATTGCACAACACTCGGCTGATGTTCCCCCGATAGGGACACAATTGTAATTTCAAGAAGCTAATATCAGCTCAAACTTATCATAATCTATGATTACTTATCACATCGATGTCCCCTTCTCGTCAAAAGCAAGGCTCAAACTTAACCGCGTTCCCTGGATGACGACCACGCGCTATATGTCGAACCGAAGACCAACAACATTCACCAATCGTCGTATCTTAGCGGATTCGTCGAGGAAGCCGCAGTGAGTGTCCGAAAGGACTTCCTACTTCGGCAGCCCAAGGACTACAATGGGTAGATAGGTGTGGCTTTCTATTCTAGATCCGTGAAGTGAAAAAACTTCCAAAACTCTATAGCTGGCGCAGTTTTAGATGATTTTGCCGACGGGATTTAGGAGAAGTAACGATGCCTTCGAACCACGGAAACCATCTCTCGTAGAATGATTGAACATCGCAGCCCCGTCGGGCCATCTGTGGGCTCTAACCAAGCTTTCATGAAAACTAACCCCACTTCCATCAAACAGTGGGCCGATAGGGAGATAGGTTGATTTGCCATGATCTGACATCTCGGCAAGTCGACCGCTTGCCGGAAAAATCGTCATTAAATGTTTTCACGTGAATCTACGGTAATGTCATTGACATTACCTAGCTTCTTGCTTTTTTACTACTGTCACGGGCATATGGCCCCGTGGAGTTGGTATGAGTCATAGTCCTAGTACGAAACGAGGACCAGTAGTTTCCAGTTTCTACCTCAACCTCAACAGCATTGAATATCATACGTTCCTAGAACGGTGCCTCTGAGCAGACGTTTTCCCGCTCCCGAGTCCGTCGTTCTTCCGTTGTTGAATACATCAGCAGGAGCCGTCTCTGTGTGATGCATGAGAGTCTCCGTCCAGTAGTGGTAGTCGTCTGGCCGCGGTGGCGGCGGCTGATGCTTGTCGGCGGCGGCGGCGCCCGGTTCAGGGTATAGCACGAGCGTTTCAAAGCTCTGGCGGGAAAGTTGCCCACGGAGTGATTGACACTCCTCAGAAATGAGAGCAATTTCATCGTATGTCCCGTATTGATGCTGGTGAGCGAGTCTGAACGAATCACGACCTCGGACGATTGATTGGGATCTTTGAGACTTCGATGCGTGGCACTGAGAAGAAGAACGTGCTCTAAATCCTGTAAGCGCCGCCCATCCAGGAGCCGACTTGGAACGACAGGCGGCGAATGGCTTTTCGTTCCAAGCTCACTATTGTCAATAACAGAGGGCCCCAAATGAGTCACCGTATCACAAGTACTTCGATCGTACATTGGCGAGAGCTTACGATCGTCACATCAACAGCGAGCGATCTGGAAGAACACATCGGTCGTTCCGTATGAAGCGCTCGAGGAAGGAGGATGTCTGCCGAGCGGCTCCGCTCTCCTGCTCCTTGCATGTCTACAATGGGGTTGACGATGTAGCGTGCTGAAGTTCTGAGTCCAGAAATGTTTCTCGAATACTCCGACCGAACCGAGCCGTAGCTACTCTCTCCGACATGGACCGTAATTCGTTCGGCGATTTGACCGAGCGAGCAAGTTTCGTCAGGGACTACAGTCCGCCATCGCAAAAAAAAGACCGCTTCAGTCTATGGTGAGTACCTACGGTGTTCTAAGAACCTCGATGCCGGCCGATTGTCATTACATCATTTGACCGCGTTCCAAACTGGAGCTCCTCGCGAGTTTGTTCCGCTGGGCTGCCTGAAATGCAGCCCAGGAATGAATGGATGGAGAACTCGGAATCTCAGCGAAGTAATAGTTGTTTTGGGAAGAAAAATCCCACGGGGAACGCTTGCGGACTCGCTGAGGTCGAGCTCGCAGCGAGTCGCGCAAGTTTCCTCGCCTCACTCACGAACTTGCATTCGAACCGCCTTAGAGCTCTTCATATTCGCATTGCACGGAGATGATCCGATGCGCGGTGCGATCAGAATGAGCAGAGCCTCGGATCCGCATCCTCCGGGGCACTCCTGCGGTAGACGATGTATCGACCGATAGCGAGGGGACCCAGAAGACGGTTCGGACGGATCGGAAATTCAATTTTGCTATTCTCTCTGAATTTCAGTAAAACGCTCAAGTCCATAATATGTGGACAACTAGTATCAGTGCTCATGTGCGGCACGGCCTACTGTCTAGAAGATATCAAATCCCGGCCGAAGGAGCCGTCCGGGAATATTTCGGGCCTCTCGGCAGCTCTAATATTCCCTACCTATTTGACTATGTTCGTGATTTTTATTCCGTTCCTTGCTCGTCGAGGTGGCGAAAATTCGCTGCTCAACGTGGTTCGGGGCCGAGGCATCAAGTACTTCGTGGTAGCGGCTATCGACGTCGAGGCCAACTACCTCATAATACATGCCTACAAATACACCACGTTGCCCAGCGTGCAGGTAGGTTTTTTGCGAGCCTCATCGAGTTCCCTATCGGATATTGCCGTCTGCGCCTCTGGTGCCTTCCGACCGGAACATTCCCTCTCGAGGGACCTTCCCTTTCGCGAGACTGTCAGATAGACTCGCCCAAACGGTCGGATCGACCGACCGACCGATCTCGCTGTCTTCGAGAGTGATTAACATTTTTTCTCGTTCTCTCCTTTTCTCATAGATGCTGGACTGTTTTAGTATTCCGATTGTATTGGCATTATCGTGGCTGTTTCTCAAAGTCAGATACAAGATTGTACACATTCTCGGAGTTGGAGTCTGCCTTCTCGGAGTCGGTTCTCTGGTCTGGAGTAATGTTCTCGAGTACAATAACACAACGCCCCAAAATCGCCTGTTCGGTGACATGCTCTGTCTGTCTGCTGGAGCTCTCTGCGGAGTTTCGAATGTGCTCCAGGAGTTCACCGTCAAGGCATTTTCAGGAAGCGTTGAATTTCTCGCCATGATCGGACTATTCGCTAGTGCCATTAGTGGGATACAAATGTGAGTAACAAATCATTACCCCCATCTTCTGACTCGTTCGAATGTATCAGAGTTCGGGTCTCCCGTCGGGCGAGATTCCCTCACTGTTTCAGGTTCGCAAGATCGATGATAAAGCGAACGGATGAATGCAATATATGGAGGGCAGGGGGTGAATTCGGAATTCATGTCCGCCTAGGCTCGGTCAATTGGCTCCTGACCTGCTCGATTCTATTCACGTTTCCGGTAGCAGCAGGTCACATGCATGCGGGACAATTGCATCGATCCGGTCCCGAATCCTAACGACTTCATTGATGCCATGACAACCGCTCGTGCCTACTGTAATCGCACGTGCAACGCAGGGAGCACCCCGCTACGGCGCGCTCGTGAATCAAAGTACTCTCCTGCTGACGTAGGTCGTGACAGAGTTAATCCTTGATGGTGCGACCTCATGAAACCGTTAGCCTACTTTTTTCGCAAAGTTCTATGGGTAATCCCATCGGAAATATCCATCTCCCATCCAGTCGATGATTCAATTTTATTTCTCGTGCGATCGTTTACCGGCATGAGGGCTTAACCCGTACGGAAAAAGAGTCGAATAGTCAGAAGAGTCTTCGGAAGTATTCCCTCTCCAGGTTGTATTGGAACTTTTGCTCTCATTTTCGGGAAGCAACGCGTCTGCCAACGATGAGGCTTACTCAGCCTGACGCGTGAGCTAGCGGTTCTCCTTTGGTGCGGATTCGATGATCCGATCATCTTAAGTTGGGTAATCCGAGAAGACCGAAAGAGCTCCTAAACTGAGTAATTTCCGGGCGCGACGGGGAATATTGTCTCCCGGTTTATCAGATTGACAATTGTTTTCCTTCTACCTTCCAGAGCAATTTTGGAACTAGACGCAGTGCAGACAGTTCTTTCACTGACTCCCTCACAGCAAATAAGCGTGCTAGGGTTCTGCGTATTCCAAACGCTCATCTATCTGCTCATAGCGGTTGTTATTTCGAACTCGTCGGCGACAGCGCTAAACCTCTCGACTCTCTCAGCGGACGGTCTATCTCTTCTAGGCTACTATTACATTTTGAACCCAACGTTCGGGGTACGTATGATCTTCGACCATGTATTCTTTGTATTTCTGTATTGATCGATAGGATCGCGAGTCGCCTCGTCAGCAACTATCGAAATCCTCGTTTTTCCGCTCTGATCTGTCTCGGCTTGAGGCTCTGATCTCATCCTGAGCAGGAAATCTGAATAATGGTGTCTCTTCTTGCAGCTGCATTATCTGTTTGTGGTGTCCCTGTCGTTGGTGCTGTTGGGAGTAGTGCTGTTCCACTGTAAGCCTACGCCGCTAGGCTGTCTTGTAAATATGAACATGGCCAACCATTTACACTCGCGACTCAGCGTCGCTGTCCATCTCGACTCGGACGAGGAAGCTTTAGCCAACGGAAGACCCGCTTTTGGTACTACGGGAGCTCCGTACTCTCGGGCGGACTACGACCTCCTAAGATAGTACCGAGTGGCCGCGCCCCGGCCGCCGCCACCAAAGCGCATCGTATGCGCATACGGACTCGTGGTGATGGGGGGCGGCCTAAAAGGAACACCACGCAGCGTCAGCGTCTGACAAAGGCTCATTACGTGATCTCAACCAACCCGTAGCGACTACTTTGAGAGTTTTCTACAAGCGATTATTGATCGATTGAGTGCAAGCGCGCGAGCGAAACGAGAGAAGAACAAACAATAAACTTGGAACTCTTTTTTCCTAATGTGAATCTTTTTCGAAGTTCGGGCTGGGATTAGGAATGCTATCCATGCATGATCGGAAACGATCTCTCGACCATTTCCATGCTGGGACCCGATCGCTCCGGCTTCGGGAACTCGAGGACACGAAGAATCGTATGAAGAACCGGACGGTCGCAGGTCTCCGTGTCAGGGACGTCTAGCCTACGCCTCCGGGATCGGTGGCGGTCCGGACTAGGCGAAAACGTTTCCCCTGGCCTCTCCCGTGCGCGTCCTCTCTTTTAGGTGACTTCCGTCAAACCTATCGGTGACAGCGGTCGCTTTGTCTCGAGCGAAGTTCTACTCGATGCTATTATCCTAGTTCATCTCCATCGCCCGGACTATTCGGCGCTGCTTGGGCAACGATGGTGTCGTTTTTGTCGGCTGCGGAATTCTGGTATGTAAATAGTCATGGAAAAGATAGTGTTGCTGCTTGAGTGTCCGAACAAAGCCTGTTATGATCGGCAGGCGCCGTTGGAGAGATGAACAAGAGATGTCCCTTATTAGGACAATTATTACCGTTCATCGTTGGCGCCAGCTACGTCGGCAATTCTTGCCGGCTATTTCCATATACAATTGTGTGATGCTTCCGCCGTGGTTTTTGAAAGCAGCTCGACTCCCGGTCGCGACTCGATGCGGTGCCTGCTCATGTTGATGTTGCGGCTGGGAGAGGTGGGACCGCTGTCAGCAACAAAAACGTCACGCTTTCGACGTCACCCTCGCTTCTGATGCCAAGGTTCGACTCATTTCTATTAGAGACTTCACATCTTAAAGGAAGGACTGACTGCGTTATCCAACCAGAGACTGTCGTCACTGCCCAGTCTTGGATATGAGGAAATAAGAGCGAGATAATGTTTCATTAATGCGTTCTGGCGTTGCGCCGTAAGGCGATGGCGGAAGCATCCCTGCCTCCGAGTACTCAGGGAAAAATTATGATGCTGATGCATGAGGTGCGCTGTCTCGAAGCGAAGGAGGAGGTCATTCCACCCGTTCGACGGCTTGGATGGGGGCATGCCTCCCAATCGGAAAACACGATCGCGCTCCGCTCCATACAGCTCAGGATTGGAAGTTCCACTCAGTATTAGTGTGTGGAAGTTCACGGAAGGAAATCACAAGAATCTTCCCGAGGGCAACGACACGTTCCTCAATCCCTGATTGATGGATCCGTTCTAACACTTTCGTGATCGCAAGCTTCGGGAAATGCTCCCTCAGGTGTGAAAGTTTGCGAACAGCTATTGGAGATCCGGGAGCGGAGGCGTTTCTCGCTCCAAGCAGCGTTTAGTGGTTTCAGCTCTCGGCTCGGCGGAAGTAGCGGTCGAACTGGATGGGAGACGAAGACGAAACGGGAGAATCTGTCACCGGATTCCCCTCGATCACGTTTAGGTTTCCGTTGGAGCTTCGGGAATATGATTCTTCTGTCAATCCCCGCGGAATCCGGTTTATTTCACCACGGGACGCCTTCGTCTGGAGCTACAATCGCTTATCGAGTTCATCCGAAAGACGGCGCGCATGAATTGAGTGATTGTTTCCTGGAACCTTGATCTAGGCTCGGTGAGTTCTTGGGCACTTTCCCGCAACAGGAAGATTCCGCAGAAAATCAAACATTGAATCACTCAACGGGCAATGTTACGCAAGTTGGTCCAAACCATATCCGGAATCTAGATTAGCTGAAAAGAAAAGTATAAGACGCCTTCATTTTACGCGGGCGACCGAGCGAGCAGGCGGGCGGGTGGAAGCGGAACGTTGCTCAGAATGCCTCGCGTTGTTCGATAAGAAATGTATTATAGACGGGCAGACCATGGGAGTTTCCCAGCGACTTTGGTCGGCGAATATCCGCAGCATTTCTGTTCAAGAAAGTTTCGTAGCCTCGTCGTTGTCGTCGCTTCGGGTCCGTCATTCCGGCCCGGCGCGGCGAGTCGCTGTCAGGGACCCGACCTATTCGAGGAGGCGCTCGACAGCTGAATCGACAAAACGGCGTCACGTCATTGCCTCTTCATTAGGCGTGCCATGAAATAATTCATGAGAGAATCTATGCTCGATAGACCTGTTCGAGCCTTCGATCGTCGTCTATTCAGCGAGCTGTTCTTCCTTCGCAGAATTTGCAGTCCAGTATCTTAGGACCGGGATTTCTGAAAAAACTTGCAGTGGGAGAGAAACGTTTCACGTAATCGCAAGCCTTGAGAAGTCCCAATCTAATAAGCGCGACTGTATCGACCTTCTGCTGGCCACGTTCGGCTGCGAACAATTTACAACTCGTTACAGTGCAGCTTCGATGATCCCTAAGCGCTCATGTAAGTTGCCAACTTGACGCTTTTCTGAAAACGAAGCAGAGCGTAATAAGTCGGCGTGCAAGAGTGCGCAGCAACCCTTTCCGGATCGAGCCCTTGCCGAGCAAATGTTGGCGTTGTTGTCGGTGGCGGTGGCAACGCCGTTCGACGCAACCGACGGTGCCACAGAGGCGGTGTCGACAGCTCACCATCAGTCTGGATGGAGATCGAATCTTTACCGAACGGGCAGCTCGCCCCTCGACGAATGGAGGGCAGTTTCGTGTGCACAGTGAATGAGGCGGATTACGCTCCGAATTGGACTGTCGTAACCAGATACCTTGGATGTAGACCTACGACAGGATTTTGGGGCCTGCGTCATACAAGATCTCCTGTTGATGAGCTCGTCGAGGCCGCGCGGAGACCTCAAAACCCCCCGCAGTTGGTTCGGCTCTCTGTGTCACCGAGAGGAATTTCTATCAACGCGATCGGGATCACCTTGAACGACGAGAAACTGTACCCGATCGAGTGCATATCTTATGGAGTGCAGGATGTGAGCTATGCGAAAATTGTAGCCATCATCACTGTCAGTGAACACGGTCCCCTGGAGTGCCATGCTTTCGTTTGTGAGAGTAAGGATTCGGCAAGAAGGCTCACGTTGACTTTGGCGGCCGCGTTCCGCGAATACGGCCGACGGAGGACGAGTAGACCGAAGAGCAGAGACGTTGTCGATCTCCGAGGAGAGCAGGGTGATTCTGAGGTGTGACCTATTTGATAAAAACGGAGTACGGACCTTTTGGACTTGAGCTCTACGACTATGTACAATGACTTCAGCCGATGATGATGATGCCGCAAAGTGTGCTTCGACGGAAGCGAAAACAGCTCGTTAATATTTGTGATGTAGCATACGGAGATCTTTCTATTTAACCACATTCACACAGCCGAATTCAATAAACATGGTGGTTCGAAGAGAAGCTTCTTAACCATCTCGACTTATTCTTAATGACTGAATTCCTGAACTTCACCCCAGGAATAATTCAATGAAATCTGACTCAAGTCTCCGATCATGACTGGTCGACGATCACCAATCGAGTGGTAATGAATCGAAACCGAAATTCCCGCTCGAAAACTCGGCTATGCAAATTCGGACGAAATTCCAAGGATTCCTTACCCATTTGTTTCAGGATCTTGATCTTCATCACCGCCACAGGGAACGTTCATGCTCAGTGTCCGGAGATCGAATTCTCGAACTGCACCTGTTCCACGTCAGAAACCTCGAACCGCGCCGATAAATTCAGTGTTCCGTTAAGTACACGGGTCGTCATCCGGTGTACTTCAGTGTTCAGCGTAGAGGCGCTGACGAAGCTCATGAGGAACTTACGAGGCAAGAAGATTGACGCCGTCCACATCATGGATTCTCCGGTGAATATCATAATCAAAAAAGCTCGTATGCTAATCTCGAATGACTGAGTAGGAGACTTCGAATGGAGTTTGAATGCTAGGATAGCCAGTTCGGCTTCGCACAATACGATCGTAATAATCCGCAGAATCAAGAACAGGAAGAACTAACAAATAACAGACAGACGGGAAGAGCTCTTCAACAAGCAATTCAACACCAATCCACGAATGAGGTGCCGACGAGTTGCGCTTCTGGAGAGAGCCTCCGTATGAGAATCTGAAGTCTTTTTTCTTGGAAACCTCGAGCGCTCCACCCGGAATTTAGGTGGCATAGCCATGAGCCCGGCGATGACGAACGGGCGGCCAAAGTCTGAACAGGGTATCGGATGATTAGCACTCAACAAAATATGCGTATTTATCCCGCATGACAATCATCCGCGACCTTGCTTTGTTCGCTTTCCTATGCTCAGCGCCTGCAAAAACTTATTCGGGTGACTATCAGCCGTGCGGTCAATCAGGAACGTCAGACGGTACTCCTCATCGACGCTCGCCGTTATCGGATCCTCGCTCGTCGTATTATCCATGGCTCGAGGATTCTCGATCACTCGTCGATTGTCCCTCTCGGCTCCTCATAGCGCCTACGATGATGAGAGGCCATCAGAGGGAAGATCGCAGCTATCTAGCGGCATCGGGATGAGTCCGAAACGTTCCCGAAACCTTCGAAGCTAAGTCTGATTCGTAAATCGGAAAAGCGCGGCTCGCGCAGAATGAACGGGACCAGGCGCTAATAGTTACCTGAGGTGCGGACCGAAAAACGTTCGGTGGGCAGAATGACGACGAAACAAAAAAAGTATTAAGGCAGACAAAGCAAACAGACGAACAAGCGAAGCGTATCTCGCGACTTCATCAAATGGCATGCTGGACGCATCGGTTTCCTTGTTCCCAGGCAAGACCGCTATCCTGGACATTCTTCCTCTCGGGGGGATAGTGATTTTTAAATAATGATGAGTTTCATTGCAGATCGCGAGTCCCTCAGCAATTCACTAGCTCCTCCTTTCGGAAATGCATTCCTGACTTGTCGCTGCCTCATGGTGCATCTGCAGTATTTGCATGGAATGCTGCCGCTGATATTTTAGACCAATCGACGAACTTTCTCTACGAATGGTGCCGGGAGGTCATTCAAAGCCCGTCTTTGTCCCCCGGTCGGTGTGCTAAAGGAGCGTTCTTTCAATCTCACTCGCTTTGCTTGCTTCATTCGCAGCTGTGCGAACGTCGCCGCAGGGGGGATGATTCGCGAATCTCTTGGGAGCAGGGAAAAATCATTTCACGATGTTTTTCACGAACTCTATCCGATTCGCTCCGGTGTGTTTTCCAACATAGGATGAGCGACTTATCGAATTGAAACGTGTTCGGTGGCGTGTCGCTGGTCCCGGATCAACAGAATATCTTTCGCTTCCCACGTTACTATGAGCAATGAGCAATGTTCGCTAAGCCATTTTGTGAGGAGCGATTCAGGCTATGAAATATAGCAGCATATCTCCGGCACCTTTCGCCAAACAATGCGATGGCGTCTCGTGCACAGTCTCGGAAGGGAAAAAATCCAACAATTGAAGAAGTTTCTGGAGCTATGGCCATTCCTCCACGGCGCCGCCACGGACCCGATCGCAAACCGGCTTCACACTCTGGAATAAATCTTCCACAGACCATGGTCAGATTCGGAGCGACCGATCGTGAGCTTTGGAAGACGCGGTAATCTCATGACAACCAGGCATCACCCTATCTCTTTTGTCTCGCCGGGAGCGCTTCCTCGCGGAGTCAACGAACGCAGAATAATCTATGTAATTGAGCGGATCCGAAAACACTCGAGTGACAGCACTCGATAGCTGAGGGAAAGGCAAGTCGAGCCGGAAATTCAAGAAGATGTGCCAACCTGCTTTGACCGCCGCAGTGAGTCTGAGGCAGCCAGAGACCGAACGCCCCTAACTGCAGTCGAGATTTGTCGAGTCAAACTCCGTTTACTAAACGGAAAGTTTCGGAATGCAAGTAATCCAGTGGGAGAAAAGAGACGATTCAGATTCGATCGCTTCTCATCATTACGTCGGTCGAAGAAGAATCGCGGGGGAAATATTCGCGCGAAAATCATACCTGCATGCATTGACAGGTACCCTCTGGGATCGACAAGTGATCCCACTTGTTCGTTCGGTCTGAATGCTCTGATATCTGGACCTTGTCGAGCAAGAATGTCATTGCGACGCGCCGCGAAGGCCTCTCGTAACCTAAACGATCACAACCTCTTTCTACCAGCTCGAGAGCTTCCTGCGCAAGGGGTCCCCCGACGCAGGGCTTCGCCTGTGGATACTCCCTGGCTCAGCAAAGCTCCAAAATCAATCCGACGATTCTCTATTCACGCAACTAATTCACTTTCGCAGAATCGATCATTCCCGATCAGTCTGCGTGAAAGTCAAGTGAAACAGAGAGTCGTTCATCGTCACTCACTGGTGACTAGTTTCCGATCGGAACGAGATTCGAAAAATTTGTTGGTTCCGAAAACATCCTCAATTCGAACGCTGTTTCGTGCTCTTCTTGCGAAAGCTCTCTCATGGTGGACAAAATGCTCTTTGTTATTGCATCAGCTGAGCTTTTCGAACGACAGCGGAATATTGCTTCGATTCTCAGCCGTCGCGTGGCGGTCACCGCAAATCAGTTGTTAGACAGATTCGCGCATTCCCCACCAGATGTGGCGCCGCAGCAAATTATCCGTTCGGCCGTGACTTGTCTTCGACTCGTCGGGAACGGCTTCGGAATTGCCATTCCCCTGGGGAAAGAATTGCGAGAGCTATAATGCTTCTTCGGTCACGCGTCTAGACTGAAGGGTTCCACAGTACAATTATCAGTGAGTTCACAGAGTGTAAAGCGACCGGGCCAAGCTCCCTCAGACGATTTGGGCTCCAGGGCCAATGAATCTGCGAGACGGAACAACTCTTCACACCGGAGACATTTTCTTGGGAAACGGAAGAAAAATCCTAAGACGATGCCTAGCACTCGTCATTCTGTTGGGTGCCCAATCACAGACAGAAACGTCGATTCGCGCAGCCATTGAAGCTGCGACAGATCTTCTATCGGCGGCGTGCGTTGAAACTCCTAAATAGCTCATTCAGCGCAGACGAACATCGTCGGAGAATTCACGTAGGCGAATCTTCTGCTGATTGATATATAACGATCTTCGTGCTCCAACTTCTTGTCACGACAATCCGAAATGTTCCAGGGCAAACCGCCGGAAAAACTTCCACAGACGTCTGAATCACGCTCCGTGGATCCATTACCTTCCTTGTGTGAGCAGGGAGCAGACTAATCGGTGTATGAGATTCAAAAACAGCCATTCTAAATTCCGATGAGCTTCGCTCGAGAAGCAAATTCCGATGATCTGGGCATAACGTCGCCTCCGAGCGAGGCGACCCTCCTTGGAATCTGATTTGAGACTTCTCCGGAGCGCCACAGCCTTGAGAGGGGGAGTTAGGATCACTTTCCGGAAGGATCTTCATTTTACCATCCATGTGAGGAGATGATCGAATGAAAGCAAAGTGTATTCCAGATTGGTCCAGCGATACCTGCGAACATCTTCACGGCCATTCCTCTCACCGAAGTGACACTCTCCAACGTTAATATATCATCCCTCAGCTCCTCGGGCTCCACACCTTTCCTCGGCCTCGAGCGAAGTCTGAAGTCCCTCGCACTGCGACACTGCAGCATGGTAAAATTGAATTCTGATCCCGGGGGACCTCAACTCCACTGAATGTCCCTGATCCGGCTCTGCATACGTGATTTTCATTCCAGAGCTACGATGTATCGCTGGAGAAACTGACTTCGTTGAGCCAAATCGAGCAGATAGATCTGAGTTTCAACAGTCTGCAGTTCGTGAAAAGCCGCTGGTTCTCCGTACCGCCCGTCAAGTTGAAGTCTCTGATACTGAAAGGGAACCACATTGAAGCACTTGAGGACCATGCGCTTCGGAATGCGCGAGAGCTTATCCATCTGGATCTATCAGAAAATCGGATCCAAGGACTGCGAAGAACAATGCTACCGGACAGCATAGAAATTCTTCACCTGGAGTGAGCTCCCTTATCTATCGGGACAGTCCCAGCACGCTTTTGTTTCCTGTCGGGCTACTCCTCGGGATCGACTTCGATGGCGATGTCTCCGGGAGACTCGGTCGGACATCCGGAAAGACGCGGATAAAGTGTAGGACTTTTTTCTCCAGGAACAATCGCCTGGCGTATCTTGAGGATAACATATTTTCGTCGATGTTGAATCTAAGACGATTATATCTGTCCAACAATCGACTGCAGACGATGAACCACAACACCTTCAGTCCGATCTGGTTTAAAATTCAGCCAGCCCTGGAACAAGTGGACTTGAGAGGTGAGCGGGCTCTGCCCGTACTGAAACGGAGTTCGGATGGTCGTGTTGGAATGACAACATACTTCGTGCCCAGAACGCGAGGAACGCATACAGATCTTGCTCATCAGCTGTCTTAAGAAGTGTCTAACGACTCTCAGGTAACCCAATATACTGCGACTGTCAGCTGTCATGGCTTTCTGATACCATCGTGCTCTGGCGGAACTCGCGGACTCTCCTGGGGCACTGCTCAGCACCCGAGCGGTTCATCGGAGATTCTCTCCGTTCTCTCGATTGCTTCAAACTCCGTTGCGAAGGATCGAACTGCACCCAGCTGTATCCGATCGAGCCCGATGACTTCCTGGGATCACCAGGAACGGTCGAATGAAGATCCCCCGGTCATGATAGAAGTCGGAAGCTTACATGGAGAGATGGGCTCCGGACGAATAATCAAGCGCTCCTTGGTCAGGGATTCCCGCTCGAGATTCCTTTGATGTGGACTACGTACTCGAACAGACTATCTCGAAGCACTTCAGTCGACTATCGGATACAGTCAAGTGCCGCTAACTTGTAAAATTCGGGAGTAGGGTTTGAATATTTTTTCTAACTTATAAGTTAGGGGAGGGTCTATCTAGACCGGATTAATTCGGACAGATGCGCGCTGATTATTATCTGCCCCCATGAATGCAGGCATAAAATTGACGATAGTGATCATGAACGGATATCTGCTTTAATTCATTCCATCTTCTCGATGCGGATTTACGTTTTTTAACTTAAGGAGAGTCCTGACTATGTACCGTACTCAGTCTCTACTATCTACCGTTCCGAACAGAGTCAGTCCCCATCAATACGATTCTCGTCTTCAAAATACAACCAAACAACTAGGGCTTCGATTTCGAAAAATAATATCGAAGATCTGCCTGTCTTTTTTCCTGTAGAATGTCACAAATAACAAGATCTCGATACTGATGTAGAGCCATGCTGATCCCTGGAACAATATTTTGTCTCTGAGAGCAATGGTTGACCAATGTAGCCAAGGCTCGGAGAGCCTCTTGGCCGGTCACGAAACCACAACTGGGCTCCTCGAAGGGGGACTCGGGTTCTTCATCCGAGGTTTCGCTGAAGACCTCATTGTGTTCAGGCTCGAAATCATCGGAAGTCACAAGTTGCCGATCAGCCTAAACGAAGTCCCCGAAAGTCATGGAAATGGGGAAACAGTCTCGGATAATCATTCGATCCGGTTCGTCTATGTCATCGCTGTTCTCACTTTGAGCGCTGGCATTCCGAACGTTCGGGAGGCATTTCTTGAAGCAGTTGAATATGGTGGAAGTTTTGACATCATCCCATGACTCTCTCAGGAACCGGATACCCTGGAGCAAATTTATTTCCTTCACTTGACCGTCCTGTGCCATGGCCCAGTAATGTTCGACCAGCTTTTTTTTGTACAACTGTTTCACGTTACAAATGATGCCCTGGTCCATGGGCTGCGATTCTCGACATTTTTCCGCGCTTTACAACTTAGGGCGGCGAAATCGTTCCAAATTATGAGTTAGAGGAGGTTTTATAAGTTAGAGGAGAGAGTCAACACGGGGTCTATGCTTTTACTTAGCAAACCATGAGAAAAGCGACTCTAAATTATAAGTTAGAGGAGTTTTCCAACTTATAGGAGCTCCAACTGAGCGGCACTTGACTGTATCTGCAATGAGATTCACGGAAACACGAAAGGACTTCCTCAAGCGTTCCTCGTGACCTCTCGACCGATCCTGCATGCAAATTTGGGGAATCGACTCTCGGGTCTGGGGTTCCCTATGGGGACTATCCGACCATACACAAACTGCTGGATGAAGGCGGGGCGATTTGAAAATTAAAGCGTTTTCTTTCTCTGTCAATCGATTCGGGATCCATCCACCTAGCATAGTTCATTTTCAGACGAGGCTTTTTCGAGATTTGACCGTCTCCGGAATGGGCTCGATAGGGCTTCCTCGAAGGCTCTGCAAGTCCGATAGTGAATTACGGTAGGGACGGAAAATTCCCCGTCAATGAGGATCTTCACCCCTCGGGAGGATCTGCAATCATCATTTGTTCTTCAATTCTGAGCTTGGGCGCAGGGTCTTCACGCCATCCTCTGTTCAAGGAGTCCCTACGAGCGCCTGGTCAGATCGGCAACACGACTCGGAGCCTGAAGTCGAATCGCATGTCGTGGGAAATGATCGAGTGACCCATCCGCGTTACGGCCGACTCTTAGCTCCGATGATGATAGCTGCATACAGGGTAGACTAAGGAGAGGCAAAAATCGACTAAGGCTCTAGAATCTCCTGGATGCGGATTCTGACCGCCTGAGAAGGCTTACAAGGTGATTCGCGCGTCCATCGATGGACCGGCCGCCGCACGACCGTCTTCTCGGAGGATTGATAGCCCTTCAGAGTCTAGATCTCACTGAGAAGACACAAATCGAGTAAATCTCATTTATTCGTTCTGGAATCCATCTGTCCCGAAGATTGAGGGAGGTGAATCGTCCCTCGGAAGAGAGCTCCAACCTGTGCGTCAGCTCCCCGATCATGATTGTTCTCTCTACCTTCCAAACAGTCTCCAAATAGGCTCTCCGAGTGATTTCAAGGGATCGATTATGTATGCCCGGATTTTGCTCCCGTCGAACATGAACTCCACGAAGCGTACCGTTCTATTCAGATGGTCGTTGATACCTGAGATGGAATTTCTTGGAAATCCTCAGCGAGGACAGCAATCCGCCCGATATTCACGAAACCGATAGTTTGCTCTTCAATTCAGGATTTACCTCTCATGGAGAAGGGGTTGAAAAACTCCTCTTTTGGAGCAAACACGACGCATCCGTCGGCCGCTGCACAACCTCTCGTGAGTTTGATGTCCGGCATCGCGTTCACGATGTTCCCCGAGGAGCCTTTGCTGCAGCCGTGCCCGCGACAATCTAGCGCGCCATTCGAGGTGTCGGGCCAGAAGGATCCTGAAGTCGGTCATGTTGCCCTTAGTTCCTCGTGAGCAGTTCGGGCCCCATAGGAGCTCCAGCCAAGACGACTATGTGAGTCTCAGGGCGATGGCTGACCTCACGCATCGGCCCAGGGACCAGCTATGAGATATATATTGTCCTGACTCACCGTCCTTAAGCCTCCAAGATTTTGGTCGGATATCCTCAACAACTCTGACCCGCTGACCGTCTGGGAGCTCCGAGTCTCCGACGGCTTCAATGGCGGATCCGTCCGCCCCAACCACAGGCACTTCAGCGGTCCCTTGCGCCGAGGCTCCCGCCACTTGGGCTCCCGCTACTGGGGCTCCCGCCACTTGGGCTCCCGCTACAGGGGCTCCCGCCACTTGGGCTCCCGCTACTGGGGCTCCCGCTACTGGGGCTCCCGCCACTGGGGCTCCCGCCACTGGGGCTCCCGCCACTGGGGCTCCCGCCACTGGGGCTCCCGCCACTGGGGCTCCCGCCACTGGGGCTCCCGCCACTGGGGCTCCCGCCACTGGGGCTCCCGCCGCTGGGGCTCCCGCCACTGGGGCTCCCGCCACTTGGGCTCCCGCCACTGGGGCTCCCGCCGCTTGAGCTCCCGCCGCCGGGGCTCCCGCCGCTGGGGCACCCGCTACGGGAGCTTCCCCGACCTCAGCCTCCTCCCCGGTCGCCCTTCGTCGACCAGCGCTCTGCTCAGGTGCTCTGGCCCCGCCTGTGCGGCGTGATGATCGTAGTTCACGAGGCGGTGTCTCCACATCCAGCTCTGTAGTGAGATCTTCGATCAGGCTATCGAGGAATTCATCGGCCTCTTGGGCTGCTACAGCAGCGTCCTCAGCTGAGCATGCGAGATTCCGTGTGAATTTCGGAGTGTCTCATGAGAATTCAGACTGAATGCAGGCCGAGCGGCCGTATACCTCACACTTACCCGACGCGCCGGCGGGTTCTGGCGATTTTGCCACAGGCGCTGCAGGTTCTCGAACCCCTCCTCCCGACCCTTCCGCTATCTCTGGCGATGATTCTTCGGACACGCGATCTTCGCTACCGACCGGCTTCACAGGTTTTTGAGGGACTCCTTCTTCTTGGGGAGCCGCAACTTTCTCCGCGGGGAGCTCGTCTGCACCTTCTGTTCAAAACAGTTCGAATTTTTGAGGAACCCAGCCAATTTGCAAAAAAAAACATTATTTTGGGGTATGGAAAGCGCACGGAATCCGGAAGATGACTCGAATTCTAAGGTTCCGAATACGCACCAGGTTCGACTGCGGCGTCGTTCGCTCCAGCTCCCTCGACGGGCTCTTTCCCAACCTCGCCTTCAGATGGGATCGGAATCGCGTCTGACGAATCCTCAACATTCTCTTCTTGAGGAACCAATGCCGTCGTCTCTCTCAGTCCTGCCTCGGTGGCGCCCGCTTCCGGACCCGCTTGAGGATCTTTCTCCGCCGCGGGATCCTGACGCGATCCCTCACGGAGTGAACGTCCTGAGTGCGAGACTTCCGAGTTACTAAGATTCCCTTGTTACGCGAGAACAGGGGTCGCTGCGACGTCAGAGAATAATTTGCCAGTGAAGCCCCGGGTCGCATAGAAACTTATTGATTTGGTTTTATTTCGTCGAAGTATTGACAGTTTGATAGAAACTTATTGCGTTGCCCATACTGTCGATGTCTTTCCCCGCTGAATTATTTATTTCTCTACAAAAATACGCGCCGCGCCGCTATACCGAAGCGTCGTCGATCATCCGCAGCGACCGATTGAGGCGGGTCCTCGAGGAATGAGCTCATACCATCGGAGCGTTCATGGCGAACGCGGATCGTAGAGCCGTACGGAACACCGAGGTTTGCAGCTAGCGAAAAGCAGATTCAAGGAAACGTAAGCTGTCGGAGGATCGAGGATGGCACGTGAGCGAAGAAATGCCCATGCCTAGAGGAGCTGATCCCACAGATTGAATTCTGTTTTTCTCGGAACGGGAGTGCTACAGTGTATGCCGTGTCCGCCACTGGTACCGGGACATCCACCATCCGTTTCGGAGCAGGAATATTACGAGAGGGTCGACATTAGGAGATCCACATTCCGAATAGTCTTAGCAACAAATCTCTCTCTTTGCCCAGCTCTCACGATACGCATAACTTACATACGTCCCTCATTCATTTGGACATCCAAGTATGCGTTCCCCGCCGCAGAAGAGAGTCATGAAGCTCCGGAAATTATTCTCGTATTCACTCACCGGAGTCTAGGGGAAAAGCGCTCACACAACCCAGATACAAGAGTATAACAAAAGAGACGGCGAACTTCATGGCGTTCTCAGGCTGCGGTACTCAAATCACTGATTCCACGAGGAAGGATCCTAAATCGCTTACTTTCGAGACGGCTCAGACTTTCCCTATCTGTAAACACAGGAACCCGATACGAAGTCAGAAGGCTGAACTCCAATCGGAGGCTTCACGAATCTTTGATGCGTCAGTGTTTACATCAGAAATTCCTACCGGGAGTCGTTCCCTGAAATTCAGATCTGGATCGTGCTACCTCTCTCGTTAGGAGTTGTTCCTGCGCAGATAGACCGAAGAGGAAGCTGGGCTGCGCAGTCTCTTCGGCATACCGTGATGAAGGCTCCGGAATACACCGGAGGCGCAGTTTGACTACCTGGGCAACGAAATCCGATCCGCGCGATGAGTCTCAGGAACGGGTGTGGATCGCGTCACGCGCTAGAATGACGCCGCTCGATTGACACGACCTTCCAAGTTCAATTTATTCGATGGACGCTCAGGATTTCTTCAGTGTTCGACAAACAGGGTCAAATTCGAGATTCTAGATTTTACGAAACCGTATATTTCTGATCTCGTCACGCTGAGTCTTGGGAATATTCTTGGGGAGCGACAGCGTACTCTCCTTATTTTGAGAGTCGCGACCACGAGCCGATCACGATTCGGATACACTGTTGGAGTCTCGGCTCCCTGCGATCACATAGGTTTGGTCTCGGAAAAATTCATCTCGCCGAGCGAAACAGAACAATTTCTTTTTCCGGGACATCGATGCCTCCTCGAAGCTGTGCGGAGGTGCTCAAACGGTCCGCGGCTGACAACGAATCGATATGCCGTTGAGTGGTCTGAGGATCAGATCGAAGCTCAATCGAAGATCGTCGCTTGCTTGGTCCGTGTGCAGCGTGAAGTTCTTAACGATGTGAGCGAGGAGAATTTTGTCTTCTTGATTCGCGAATTTCTGACCTACAGAAGAAAAATGCATGCTTAGATCCACTCTGGATCGAATTATTTGTATGACTCGAACTTTCCGCTCAAAATGAGGGGCCTCTCTGTCGTACTGGACGCTGGACTAGACCATCGACATCCTGATCAGGCGCGGGATGAACTCTCCACGTCCGTCGGAGATCCCCCCTCAGCTGCCTGTTTTGCACGCTAGGGACGGGCTCCTCCCGGGGGATCAGAAAAATCACAGACATTGACTCCACCGTATATAAATATGTTCACGCCATATCTATCGATATAAATGGACGTCTTTCCCATATATCACTGACCGATGCAGTTTCTCGGTCCTGCAGAGAATGGCACGAAGCTGTAGGGATGCCTGTTTTTCGAGTCGAGGAATCTGGAGGGCTTGAATTTTTCCGGATCCTCCCAGACGCAGGGGTTCCTATGGAGGTGGAAAATGTCGACCAGGCCCACCGTGCCTGAAGGTATCACATGTTTCCCAACGCGGACGGGCTTACTGACATTCCGAGTTATCATTGGCAGCGGGGGGAAGAGTCGCATCGATTCCTGCAATTCGAACGATCGGCGTGTTCCGAGATTGTTCCGATGAGTTAACGAACTCGGAAAGCAGGCCCAAGACTAGAAGGTGTCTCGATAGCAATGATATCCGAACTCGAGATCCCTGTTCCCTGTTCCATGACGAGATCCACGGCGACGAGGCAGAATGATGCGGAGGTGTACCTATCTCGTCTCCTCATCGAATCAAATTGCCTCAGCCGGGAGCTCTCTCACCTTGGTGACAGCCTCGGTCAAGGTCAACATCTTCAATTGCTCCTTCGAAACACTCGCGTCATCAGTGACGACGCTTTCAACTTCGTTGAGCAGTTCTTCTTGCATTTCCGGATGGTGAGCCAGGAGATGGAGGGTGTAGGCCATTGCCGTCGCGGTTGTGTCGAAACCCCCGACAATGAAGGTTGCGACATGATCCCGAACGTCATGACGGCTCAAGAGACCATCTTGGTGCATTTTGATGACGGTATCGATGAAACTCTTCCCCATCTCGTTGTTATTCTCGAGCGAAGCCAGTTTCATATCGATGACCTGGAGAAGGAGGGCCGCTTAGTCTCGATTCTCCGACGCGGCTTGAGACGAGACAGCATCCGAAGGCTATCGAAGACGCGGGCAAACTAGGAACTTCCGTCCGAAGTATCTACAGTCGAGGAAACTACTTTTACAAGGAACCGCGAGCTCAACACCCGTCTGATGCCTGTCAAATGGGGACGGATTCAAGAGGCGGAAAAAGCCCGTTTAGCGGTGGAGTTTACCGGCTTAATCCATTCTTTGTACCGATCGCCGATGCTTTCTTCACTCGAATAGCTAGGATTAAACTAATGCCCTCGCGAAGAGCCCGCTTCACTACTGGTGCTCATTCCGTGGTGACGTGCGGTCGCCCCGCCTTTCGACTTTTCTCAGCGGAGCGTCTTTCCCATCATTTACCTTATATATATAATCGGTAATCCTTAGACTGGCAGCTTCCATTTGGCGTCCAGCCGAAGTATGCCGGAAAACCGAGTCGAACCAATGTGGAATATTTATGATCCTCGCGAGAATCCGGTCAGCCAACCTGCAACAATCCGAATAGTAGATGTCGTGATCCCGAACGGAAAGGATGCGCAGAAGCTGTGATTTCCTTCCCACTTCATGGAGCGTTTGCCACAAACGATCGTCGGGACGACTTATGAAGTCTCAAGAGGTCGAGAGTCGACCTCATCGAGATCAGAAATCATTCATGAGCATAGAGATTCCTACTCATCGCAGTCGCCGAGGAAATTCAGGTGTTCTGGATCGTTCTCGTCCAATCGAATCCCGAAGGCGGTTTCTGAGGAATATTCCATAGAGCGTTAGACAGCTCGGGATGGTTGTCTTCATTCGTCTCGTCCGAGGCGAAGAAAAAGTTTCGACGCGTCTTCGAGCTCTGATCTCTACGGTCTACTGTTCCGGACACTGCTTCGCGAATCACGAACCGATCGGAATCAACCCCGAGAGGATCTCAGCCAGGGAAAGGGCCCGGAGTGACCTCCGGAGCTATCATAAAATCATTGGCATGTCTGGTTGTCAGCGACAGGAAGACTTGAATGCAGTGCGGAGGAAGAGTTCCCATCAAGATGGAACCCGCTGGCGGATTCTTCACAGAACTCAGTCAGGGGAATCCCCGAGGAATACGAGACGCAGCGATACCGCGTGACCGTCACTATGAATCGAAAAACTCCGATTCGATGAATGCGATGTGCACCTACCGAAAAGTATGCTGAATGTGCACATCCGGATCAAGGGGTAGATATCGACTTGCTCATTGTTCAATCGGCGAAGCTTATCGACGAACCGTAGTGCGTTCTCGTTCATGGTTTGACGATAATCGTCCAAAATTCGAAAATGCATCGTGGGCGTGAGCATTTTCCGATGTACCTTCCAGGTGGTATCGCCGGGGCTGAAATGTATTCCAAGAGTCTAAGTTTTATGACAGGCTCGGTTCCCGAAAAGCTTCCCAGAGAAGCTCGGGTCGATCAACGGTGGTCATCGACGCATGACCGATTGTTTGAATAATTCAGTCAATTGTAAAATGAGCCCTTCTGGTAACCTTCCGACGGGATCAACAGGGATTCTTCAGGGCGGACTCACTTGGATAGCAAACCATTCCCCAGCCAGGGTTTGAGGAAATGATGGCTGAATCCCTTGTTGACATTTGAAACATTGGACAAGATTGCTTCAACGCTTTCGGGAGTACACGCGAGAACGAATCCCTTCGGTCCGATTAGGCAACAGACCACAGGCTGATCGTAGTACTGCGGGACCATAACGTCCATCGCTTTGAAGAGCCCTGGGATTCAAGATCAAAATCAAATATTCAATCGGCGAAGATATGTACCCGGGAGCTTTCCTTCGGAATCGCCCACTCTGAGGAACGCACGCCAATGCTGCGGGGCTCCGAACGAATCTCGCCGACTGAGATAGAGACTGGGTCTGTCACTTCCGCTGGACTTTCGATTAGTCCTCAATCATCGGACGGGATGCGAGGATGAGTAGGGACGAAGGCGTTCCTCACTGACCAGTACGCGGATTCCTCCGGACTCGATGTCAAACGAAATACTCACATCGTGGATACATTTTCGTCTTCGACTCGTGCGTGACGGCTTTCTCAGGCTGCTTCTTCACTTTCTTTCTGAGGCGCCGCATCGAGAAGATGAGATCCAGCGGTAACGAACAAGGAAAGCTCTCGTGCAGCCTCGGAATACCTCTGAACGCGTACACAAGCCTCGCGATTTCGAAAACGTAGTACCCGATCACCGCGAGCACGGCACAGAGAGTAATATCCAGGAGGATCGTCATTTTTGAAAATATCCAATGCGGCCCACGAAGATGACGATTCGGTGCACTTCTTTCGAGGCTGTTTGTTGTGCTTCGAAACGAGGCGGCAGACGTTCTGTCGTGCTCCTTAGAAGTCGCATCGGTACTCTTACAGGAAACACGTCATAAACGAGGAACCAGAGGAGAGAGACGTTATCTTTGTCTTCTTTCGGCAAGCATCATTTACCTTCTGTTGAAGAGTAGGAGGAAACCGATCGAGCGATCCGAAAGGGTGATCCCTGAGTGACGTTCTGACTCCAAGCGAGCTGCGAGAGAAAGGGTTCAACTATCTCACATCGACTTATTTCGTCATTTTCCGATCCAACGTGTTTATGGCGAACCGACCTCCCGATATCGGCCTCATCTTCGATCTTCTGCATTCTTGAATTCGACTGATTCTCACACCGACTCCGGTCATTAATCTCCCACCGGTGCAGCTCGTCGACGGATGGAAGCGAAACCTTGCTCTACCAAACTCCCCGTCTCCTTTCAGATCTGAAAGTGGAATGCTTGGGGGCTCCCTGACCTACTGATCTGAGATCATTTTCAGATTCGCGAGATCAGTCAGCTCCACGTGCGGGATCGGCAGACATCGGAGTACGGGCTACACAGCGTCGAACGCGATGACATCAGCTGTTATCACTGTTCCATTAGGACTAATTGAACTTACTGGCCAGAGTGAACGCTTCCAGGTGCTCTCCAGGAGAACTCCCAGCTCAGTCGGGACGCGGTCTGCGCCTCATGCTCGGGAAACACTAGTTTGCGTCATTTCTCATGGAAGTGAGAACTTATCCCGCGGACAAGTCCTTCATCGAAGAGCCTCGGAGGACTTCAAGTGAGAAGGACATAGGCAGGAACTCGTGAAGTCGACGATCTCATCGCTGTTCGGATCAAGCAGGAACTGTATTTCATGGATGACCGCGTGCGCGGCAATTATACGGCAGACAGTGAGCTGTCAAACTCGTCATGATGGACTCTGCATCGATCGCTCCGTCTCTTGGCTGATGATTCACGATATGCAATGATTAATAGACTGTGCTGCGACCCCAGACAAGGCAATTTGTTGCACAGAGACCGGTGCACGGGACTTCCTGTCTGTTGAAGCCGCGAACTCGCAGAGAAAATGACTCCTCCCGAACACGGAGATTATTCCAATCAATCGTCCAAGTGTCCCGATATTATATATATATACTTCGGTGAGGTACGGATTCGGAACGTATCTGAATCTGTTGAACGCTCCGGAGGTTTTCATCCGGAGGAGTCGGATCCGCACTGGAGGTGAGGTATAGCTCCGAGACATTGAACGACGGTCATTGAATGCGTATCGCATATTGAAATTTAGCTACGGATACACTGGTCAGATACATCGGAGCGAGGGAGGAAGTTTCCGAAAATGATGGTCGCTGTCTTCTGACGCACATTAATCACGAAGTCCTCGAATACGTTGATGTCGAGTGAGCGCTTTCTCGTGTTTCTTCACATGTGTATATTCTGGATGGGCGTAGCTCGGATAAAACCATGGTCGCCGTGAGCTGCACGAACATCGGAGATCTGTTCGAAATGAGCCTCGATTACGCTCGACTCGACTTCACACCTTCCGACCTTTCCTGGTGGCGTCGATTGCGGCTTTCCATGGATCCTCAGCGAATTTAATTTCGATTTCCCTAGAGAGTGGTCCGGAACCCACTGTGAATAAGACAGCTTCCCCGAGTATTTCCGGAAAGCTTCGGGCGACAGTGGTTCCACCGGAGACCCGATGTTTCCCTCTGATGAGACGACGACACACAACACATTCTCCCATCCGGTTCAACCCTCTTCTTATTTTTCTGAAAGCGTTCCGAACAAAACAACCGGATTTCACAAAACTCTATACAGCCAACGAGAATTCAGCCTATAATTCCGGGATTTCTGCTTCCCAGGCTCACTGTCACAGACGGCGCGGATCTTCTAAGCGTCCGGGGCCAATCGACGTCATTTTCAGGAAACTTTGGCCGATCGGGAAAAGATTCCTCTTGCAGTTCGAAACGAGGATGACGGCTCATACCGCCTATGACATTGGCGTGGAGGCTATTTCCAAATCCATGAGAAGCCCGATCCCCAGCGGATGTCACCGATTAAAGAGGCAGATTGGTATTCTGCAGGAGCTTTTGACCTACTAGCACAAACAAGCTGCTCATGAATTGCTCGATGATCACGGGTGAGACCTGAAATTCATTCGTAGGAGAGCCCGCGGATCTCGAGAATTGAAAACTTTTCGAGAACCCTCTCGGAATGCAGTCGAATGATTCCGGGTCCGATCTTGCCTTTGCGATGGTGTTGAAGCCGGTCCCGAGCAGGGCTGAAGCTGGGCCAGCCCCGCTGAGCTCCATCTTGAAGCCTCGCGTGCTCCAAACGACGACCTTAGTTATCTTGGGCTTCAAACCAGTCTTCCGATCTCTCGCGACGTACAAGGTAATGTTCACCCCTAGAAGCTTACATGGCCGAAATATTTTGATATGATTAGAGATTGCTCCAAACCATTTCAATCTACGGCGAGGAACTTTGCCTGGACATTGAACTCGTGAAATACCTGGGCTGACTCGCTCGCGAGATCCCGGAATCTGCGAAGGAAGCTTTACCTTGAATCCGATTTTGGCTTGGCCTCCAATCATGTACAGGGCCAGGGGCATTTTGTAGTCGTAAACGATTTTCACGTCGCGAATGGCGACTGGTAATTCTAGAGACACGTATTGCGCGTCGATTTCGCAGTCCACATTGATCTGGCCCTGCAAGATGATGAATTGAATTTCGGTGCCTCGAGGCCCTTAGTCGCAGTCCCGCAGTAGGCTAGGTGCGGCGACGCCTACACCGATAGCAACAAATTCAGAGCTCCCCGCGAGCATCACATTATAGCTGACGATTCTGAGCTGGAGTATGGAGTTCCGCGCAGAACTAAATTCCGCCGAGCAAACTTAGTTCAGCCTTGGTAAATGCCTCTCCTATCTTCCTCGTCCGCCCACTTGAACCAGATTCGGACCCACGCAGTATTGAGATGAAGGAAGTCGACGCTGTCTTCCGGCGATAACTGGGAATCCGCTTCACGAGCCGCTCTCTCTCCCTTATTTCTTGTTTTCAGACCGCAGCGACGGCGGCGGTAGATGCTGTAGTGGTCATCTGAACGACTCCCCTTAGGAAGGCAAAGGGGCTCGTCGTTTCTTTCGCTTTTCACGTAACCTAGATTCAGAAGCGACCGCACGGAGATCCACCTCATAAATCTCGGAGCGTTTATCCAGTTAGGATGTGGGCTCGTCCGGTTTCTCTGGCCGAGCTCGCATATTCGTCAGCCCGCGGCTCGCACCGAACTGGTTGAATAGCTCTAAGTTGCGTGGTCGAGCGAACATTCATGTGTATAGAGATGTCCTTGAAGGCTACCGAGCTCTCACCCGGTTCAAACAACATCGGATGAACAACTCCGCATAAACACAAGGGATAAGAGCTTCTCTTAGCCGCCGTCAGCTTCCGAAGAAAATGCTCACCACGCTTAAGTTGTCTGGGAACTCCTCTAGACAGAACATCTTTAAAAGGTGTTCGGATGTCGCCCGGTTCAAACTCACTTGGAAAAAAACGTTTGCCACGCCGTATGCGTCTCCATTTTTCAGGTCGAATATTCCGATATTGGCCGCGTCGCCCAATTTGATCGGTTCCGAATCTCTCAGAGTCTGTCGATTGGCGTCCACGAGTCTTTGAAGGAAGTTCGTAATAAATTCATTTCCAAGGCACAGCAATCGTTCTTGTCGACGCACGCGTGTGTGGGGAGGCAGAGCCGTCGAGTTCAAGGAAGCATCGGCGGAGCATGGAGTTGAAACTCGAAACAGCACGAGACACAGAACGAAATCTCGGGAGGCAGAGTTCGGAAGCATCTCGCGAGTTGAAATATCGAGCCGTTCCTCGACTTGAAATATCGAGTCGTTTCTCGAATTTTTGTGAACGAACAATTTGTAATTTCGACCCATGAATTTGAATGAAGGAACCGCGCTGACCGGGTCACGGCTGCGTCAACGCAATCATTGACGGAAAATATCGGAAATTATTCTGCAGTCCTGAAGAGCTCTGATTTGCTATCGAATATCATTATCCCCGCTTCCATCCGAATCACCGAATGCACAGCCTATTCGGAGTCCCCCCAGGCCAGCTCCACATGCCTCGGAATTCGACTTGCATAGCTCAGCGCGTACACATGTGCATCGAGGAAGGGGTGCCATAAGAAGTATCGCTCTGATTTTCTAGAATCGACACGGCGCAATCCGATTCCGATGGGGCGGAGAGAGTAACGGAGACGACAAAACGCCCTGATCTCGAACTCGATTCTCGAAATGCTTTTCTGCGCTCCGAAGAATTAGAAATGATTGAACTGAAACCAAGGGAAGAAGCGGCGCCCGAAAAAGTAAACATCGGTGGGGAGGGCCTTCCATGTCCGTGCTGGCTTAGTGTCGGGTCAGCGAACGAATTTGAGAAACTCATGCCCCAGATGGAGCCCGGCGCTCACAGGGAACACCTCTTTCTGGAGCGTTTAGAGTAGGTTCCATCGCTTGTATGCCCGTGATATGTGCTCAAGTGAGCAGAAAACAGTGACGAACTTTCAAATATTTGTTCCCTCCTCTGTAGGTATAGTGACGTCTATCGGAGATCTCCACCGCGCAAGCGGAAACGAAAGATAACGGAAGATGCTGAAGATCTCGTCGAGAAGAGAACTGCCGCCAACACCATGGTGAGGAAGAATCAACGTCAAATTGCCTTTGTATGTTGTCGAGTATTTCAAATCAGTTCGGAGGAGTGCAACTGTTTGAACGAGTCGGAACCTTTGTGCAAAACGAGTGACAGCCAATGCTAGTGTCTACATGAAGGATGGTCATCACAACGCACTTCCGACGCTTAACGTGTATGAAAAAGTTCAAACGTGCAAGGAACGAGCTTTCGCTCATCCCGATACGGACGGGCTTCTTACACTCGCGCGATCCTCGTTGATTTCCCATCGATTCGAAAATCCTCGCTCTGTTCCTTTAGGCGGTCCGTATCTTTCCCCGGCATTCTATCATGATCTCTAGACTCTCGAGTCGAAAACGATAAAGCTTTTTCTTGGCGAAAAAACGAGTCCGGCAGGATTCGAACCTGCAATCTCCTGATCCGTAGTCAGGCGCGTTATCCGTTGCGCCACGGACCCATGGTGCTAGCCCGAGCTCTCGCCGGGCTCGTTTAAGAGCTCGCCTGCCCGCTCGCTCTGACGATGTCTTCTGGCTTCTCTCAACCAGGCGCTCATGTGGCGGCTTCCCCCGATTATCTCCAATGTTTCCCAATGAAATTCCTCGAATGATGAATTATGATCCGGTTCTGATACCACCGCGGACTCAAAACTTCATCGAGTCCAATCTCTCGAGAATGGATAGAGTGGGCCAAAAAGAGGAAAGACTGCTTCGTGGAAGTGGACACCGCGGGGCATGAGGACGGACATCGGCAGCGGCGGCAGCACGAGGAGAACTTCCTCTTGAGAACACTCGAAACGACCACAAGAATAACACTTAAAACCTCTCGAACAAGAGCACTGGCAAGCCCCTAGGGGCAGTGTAAACTTGAACATTCGCCCTCGGCGTCGTTTTTGCGTGCGAGACGGCAGCTCTGACGAGGGAGAGAGAGCCAGCGAGCGAGCAGGCAGCCGAACATAACCTTTATGCTGGAACTCCGATGAGTCCTGTGCTCGGGTTCATCGTTTTTGGTCTTCTCCTACCTCAGAGTTGCTCCGTCTTATCCTCTCGTGTCTCTCATTCGTTGAGACAGATCTCTCTGCTCAAGCGACCCGGACCGATAGAATACGTGGTGCGGAGAGAAGAACCGTTCCTGTCTCATCCTCAGGAGCTCCCTGGGACGAGTTTCGAGCCAGCCGAAGGTCACGACGGGACCTTCTCTCTTCCAGTGTGGAATCTGTGGAGTCCCATTCCGAAGACCTACTCAAACTCGCAATACCATATGATAGAGTCAGGCTGATGAATAAAGCACTGAGAAAGACTTTTCCCCCCCCAGGAACGTCGTCGGATGGAGCGTTTGAACACCGCCTTGGATCGACTCCGCGAGATTATCCCTGCTGCGTCCGACAAACGCGTCTCGAAGATAAAGACTCTCAAAATGGCGATCGCTTACATAGATTATCTACAGGTACTCTCCTAGAATATTCTCCCGATCTTCGGAACTTGATTCCCTGGATCCTGTGCGATTGCAATCTCATTGGGGGAGCTGAAAGGCGATTGATTGAATGCCATCGGCTTCTTAGTGTCACATGAAATCCGTCACAGAAATAATCAAAAATCGATCAAGAGGGGTGATGACGAGCAGCGCGAAGGTACATCGATCCTAGTTCAGTTAACCAGCCAATCTTCAGTACGAGACTGAATGAATTTCTCTTCTTCGCACAGAAACTCCTGCTCCATAATGAGCCATCGGGCTGGGAACCGCATTTCCCCTACAAATATCAACAGCGGTATTACGAATACCCACATCCTCACTCGCCACTTGATGGGTCATTGAGCTCATATTCCAATCCTCAATAAAGTTTTTGCGGCCGGAGATCGTGCTTTCTTCCTCTGCTGCTCCAATTCCAAGCCAATCCTGCTCGGTCGACTCCCAGCTGATCCCCCGCCTCGGTGAAATGCTTTGTACTGCTGTCGAACAAATACGAGGTCCACGGACACACGAGGATGTTCGGAAAGATGCAGTCTGGCCATGCGGTACGGGGCAATTGTGAGGGGGAACGGATTAATGAACGAATTGATCGAAATCGCTCGAACTCCATACGGCCCTCTGCGTGGTATGTCACGCGGGTTTTGCTGGGTGACCGAGAGCGACTGTATATGAGAAAGTCAGAGGAATGTCCTTTAAGCAATATTTCGTTTACCTATAATTAAGGGTGTTGGTCACCTGTTCCAGCTGGATGGATGGCATGCAGGTTCGTAATGCAATTAGTTCGGACCGCGTGCTGCACCATCACCTCGCAGGAATTCGGTCGATTTGCCGATCGAACGCTTTTTAGAATCACGGCAGGTATGCGCTGGAAAGCGCTTGAAGCTTTCGCGGATCATACGGACCAAGAACAGTGAGCGGATCACCGTGCGGAACGCGGATGACTGTCCACCCTCGGTGGTGAATCGAGTCCGCCCCTCCCCGTATGTGGCTTGTCGCTCCTGACCTTTCGTAGAGGGAACACCGTCCGCTTTCCAGTTCACGAATGCAAACTAAAGGGAAGAGGGTGATTTGGGAATCCCTTTGCAGGCGAGTTCTGGTCGAACTGAAATGCATTCCCTCCCAGCAGAGATAGGGGAGGGACCACAGGGCGAGATATGATTAGATTCGGTGTTGAGAGAAAAACGAAAATCACTCCTGTCCATCGTTCCCTTTATTCATGGATCCCGGGGTGGGGCTTCGTATCCGTTTAGCCTTCTTAGGAGAAATTGGAACTCCATTGATGATGATAAATCATGATATCGAGAAAGACCTCTTCACCGCCGCGTGACAAGTTCGCAACGGAATGGTGGGCAGAGAGGTCGATTGCGTCGGAAAGTGTGCGTTTCTCCAAACTCTTTTGGAGCAAGGTTGATATAAGGTATGAGTCCAGAGTCCACCAATGATGGTCGGCATCGCGTCTCCCGCCTCCTCTACAAAAGATCTTGCTATCTCCATCGAAGAAGCAGCTTCAATTTATGAAACTTTCGGTGGATTGATCGACCATAGGAATCATTTTGTTGAGCGAACGTGTAGAGTCCAGCGTCCGGAATGAATCGGCGAATTTTCTCTCGGAATCATATCTGAGGATTCCTGAATGTATGACGCACTCGCATCTCTCAACCAACCTGTCTATGAGGCTCGAAGTTTACATGCTTAGTATTCATAGCAGATTGACACAACACAAAATAAATTATAGCTTTGGTTTTCGTTGTACATTTCAAGCATTTGAGCAAAAGCTCATAATGATGGATCGTATACGGACAGAATTCCAAGCGGAGATTTCAATCTTAGAGCAGCAAAAGTCAATGCGTGAACCATGCACTGTAGATACACACTGCTCATGATCAGCCGAGGATATTCTGTACAGATGAAACCGTAGGTACGTCTAGAGGCGAAAAGTCTGATGAGAACGATACTGATGACGACACCATGAAAGTTCCGCAGGTCGCTGCGGATCAAGCTTAGTCGGACGACTAAGCCAGCGGCTCCGCATACAGCTCGACGGCGGAAGGGTCGATATGTCAAACTTCGTAAGAGGATCTCGATGAATGTGGCGGGGCAGTACACGGGACGGCCCATCTCCACAGAGCGCCTGATCGATGAAAGAGAAAACATAAATTAGGGGTGAGGATCAAAATGATTTCCATACGTCCGCGCCATGAGTTGAAAGAGCTCCGTGACCTAGAGATTCTTCTGATGATTGTCCCGCGGAATTCCGGCTCGGAACGCGGTAGATCTCTGATCTCATAATTATGTCTGGGCATGTGACCCAAATGAGAAGTCGCGCTCAGATTTGCGATTTCGAGTACTAGCTATTTTCACGCAACAAGCGATTAGTACCTCGGCCACACACGTCACGCATGCTGCTACGGCATGATTTGCTCCTACGTTGACTAGATGAAGCGGGGCTCTTTGTGTCTGGCTGGGGTCCGTGCATCACACTGCTCAGCTGATCGAGGAAAATCACCATCACGAACAAGCCGAAAAGGAGACACTCCACCAAAAATATCACCTGAAAATTAGATGATTCAACTCTTGGGAGCCCATCGGTCCGAAGTTTTCATTCCTGTCGCGTACGCGGTCGCAAGTCTCAATCGAGATGGACGTTGCTTCGACAGAAATGTCTCCGTCGGGAGGGACGGACGAAGTCGAAGAAGCGAAAAGCCCCGACGAAATCGGCCGAGAATTCCCCCGATCCTATGAGCGATATGATTCGTAGTGAAACAGCGGACTCACCGTATGAATGAGTCTATTCTGGCGGTATTCAGATAGGGGAACTCCCTCCTCTTCGGCTTCCTCGAGCTGCCAAGATAGGAAGACCACAAGCGATCCATACAAGCATGTGACGGCGGTATATACGAGGAATTGCAGGAAATATTTTTGATTCAACTCGCCAACGCAATTGTTGATCCTGAAGCGTAAAATAATATTGGAAGGAGCCGCAGCGAACCCCCTCTTCGATACGATCATGACCTGATCCGAACACCGATGAACTATTGCGGACAGCAGGGCTGGGGAGACCGAACGACTCATGAACGATGAAAACGAGAACGGCAATCGTGGAGGAAGTTTGAATCGGATATTTCTTGGCCTCTCAGAGTATGTCTAGTGGATTTCTGTTCCACAGTATCAAGCCACACTGAGTCATCTTTTGTTACCATGGACAGTGATGATCCATTCGTCTGATGCATCGATTACAGATACGGCAATGATGAGCATGCGGCGGCCGGTATGTCTCACATCGAGCGCAAATCGTCCAGTCGCTATTCTGTAAACGGACAGAGTACATCGGAGATATAGCAGGGAAGAGTTAATCGGACAAGTTTACATCATCCGGAGCCGGTGATGAGATGTCTATCACCGTCGAGAGTACAAGCTCGAGGCAGCACCGAAATCGGCCCTTCATCCGGATTCGAAAAATGACCGGAGAAAGATTCCCAACGACGAGTCCTCATCGCACCCTAGTAGCGTGAGAACACCACCAAGAGGAATGAACGGTGACTCACCAATTTGTAAAATTGTATCTGTAAATGCGGAACTTTCGCTGACTACGGGTCACGAGCTCATGAGAGATAGTGATTTGAGTCTGAGTTCATGCTCTGAATATCTCTCAAGGTTAGTCGAGACGTATTTGACAGATTTTCAAGTTTGGGATCGAGAGCCCACACAGTCTCCCGATCTTGTGGGCGACATGCGGTCGAACCGAACATCCGATTCAACCACAGCAAAAAATACTCGTTGCGTTCCTTGCTCCGGGCAAGTCCGACGAATGTTCGTTGGGAGCTCGAGAATTTCGATTCATTCGAATCGACAGTATTCGGAGACCGGGTGCTCGATCGTCGGTAAGGCGGTGAATGGCCGGAAGTTTCAACTTACATTACTCTGCTGCTGAAGCACGGTGGAGAAATCTATGTGCGTTTTGGGCAACGGAACGACGCCCGGATCCCCGAAACTCGCTTTCCCGTGGGCCCAAAGAGCGAATGCGAGACAAACGTTGAAGACCGTAACATGCACGTAGGCCCATAGGCTGAAACGTAGGCGTCCGTTACTACATTCTGTACACCTAGGGAGGTCAAACGCGTTTCGAGCCCCGAAAAATATCTGCAAGAACCAACTCAATGCCCTCACAATAGTTGAAGGAAATCGTGGTCCGGCCCATGGGTTCGGACACCTGAACAAGAGAACATGCGGGCCTCCGAGCGCCACGGAAGATTCTCCGACAGGGGGCTCGGCTAGACATGAAAAAATTCGAGCGCAAAATTCCAGGAGCAAGACGGCAGAGAGTTCTTCTCTCAGTTGTTACACCCCTCAGCTTATGGGAGCAAAGGAGCATTATCCAATTTGGGAGTACATCTTTTGCGATCTCTCCTAGGTATCAGCTGATCAGATACAGTCACTTCGTCTACACCGTCGGTACCCCCGGCGTCGGACACTGTCCTCAGCCTTGGATTCGAAAGGAAGCGCTGTTTTTTCTACCGAGCTTTGTCGCGGTCAACCTTATTGAAAGTATGGTAGATGCTCGAGTGAGCTATGAGCTATGTCGCACATGTTAGCTCATCATCGCTAGAGAATGCGGACTCGGCTCGCGTTGACGACGAACGACGAGCGACGACGGAGATAGCCAGAGGATTGAGCTTCCGAATGAATTCGAATTCAGAGCCATAGAATCTGCTTTATACTCCTCCCTGCTGGCTCATTGGGCGATCGAATGTCTCCGAACTCAAACAGAGGACCCTACAACTGGTCGGAGTACCTGTCAGACATAACTGGGATGATCATCCAGACTATGAGGGCATATTCTCCGTAGGCCACACATCCGTAGAGAAGGCATAGGCATAGGAGACCGCACACGTCTACACCCGTCATTTCTGGAGACTCTCAGACAGAGGCCATTCCTGCCAGACTGGACACCGGCTCGAGCGTGTGCCGTAGTTCGATCCGCTGAGCACTCGGCAGAACTTGAATCACCATCTGACGTCTCTAAAAACTCGGAGCCAAAACGACGGACTCCGGGCAGTGCGGTGTGCCCTGCGCGGGATTCCATCGAGCGGAAGTGTCTCACGGCGCGACGTTGACGTCGTAAGATACCTGCGCCGATAAAATGACGAGAGCGAATTCTATGACAGATGGAGGATGACATAGAAGAGAATGTGAGCGGTTGAGGAATCTTGAGACGTACGAGACGTCCGCGTCGCACCACATGTCGGGCGCATGTCATTTATACATAGATTCCAGTTGAGCCGAATTAGTCGTCATTCGAGGAAAAGTTATTGCTCGCTCGTTCCGGCCGTCGGCACGAGAGCTTTGAGGGCATCGGTTGATTTGCTCTGCGGCAGTAAAACATCTTGACGGAACAGACTCACATCGCAAATACACCCCACGTCCGCGAATTCGAGCATGGCTCCAATTTTGAGAAAGAAAATCCTGCGTTTCCATGAAGACTATCTGACTTCAAAGCGGGAACCGTCGCGCCATCGAGACGCAAAAAATAGGACAAACCGACGAACGGGAGAGTCTGTTTTCGGAGAAGTTTTCGGCAGATCTGACAGAAGCGGACCAAGTTTTTGAGGGATCGGGGGCGAGTTCGGTAGTGCGGTCGAGTCTGTGGTCGGCTCTCCTAGTCTAAATGACTTTCTGCTTTGCGACCGAGAGAGAGAGAGAGGCTACAGAGAGACGGGCATCGGATAGAAAAAGGCCATGGTTTTACAGCTAGCTTCAATGAGTGGTTTCTTTTGGTTTCGAGATGTTCGCCTGCTTGCAAGCTCGCAGCGGCGACGCCGACGGCGGCGCCCTGATTCAGGTGGTTACCGAAAGCCTTTGACGCCCGTGTAGCTCGTTTCGACGCTGCTCTCGGCGTCGGATCCTAAGGCCGTCTCTCTTGTCGACCCGGAAGGCCGCCAAGCTGGAGTGAGAGCCTTCGTACACCTTCGAAGCTAGAAGGACCCCGGCTCTGAAGGACGGAGAGTCCCAATGCACCGCCGGCTGCTCGGTTTTATGCGCGGCACTAAGTGTGGCTTCGAACTCGAAGAGCCAGCGTTGAGCGCCCTATGCGGCTTAGCGCGGCGCTAACGCGGACTATCCGGACCGTCTCGAATTTCTCACACGGCAATTCTCATCCTCCGTGGGCTATGATGGTCAGAGTTGGCTGTTTGATTTGCGTGCTCTATCGCTTCCGGAAACGAAACGACCGAGGTCTCTCCGATCGAGGGAACGCAGCAGAGATACACAGCCCCTCTGCGGTGCTCGAGCGTCGTTCACGAGATCGGTTGCGAGCGGGATCTCGGTGGTTGGCGATCGGGCTTCCCAGAACCACCATCCTCTAAATAAGGCTCGACGGTGTTCATAAAAAGTTCATTCACGAGTTGACGCCACCGAAAAGCGCTCAGGGTGCATATGCTCAGTTGCGTCGTCAGATGATGTCGAACATGGACGATGACGCTGTTCTCGAGCTTTTCAGCCGGAATGCTTGAACTGCGTTGGAGCACCGTTGGCGCAGGGGGTGAACGATCCGATATTGACTCGGGTCCGTTCTATGTGGGTTGGGACTTTCACGACGATAAGCTCTCGTGGATCCGACGGCGCTTATCGCGGAATCCCGCACCATGAGCGCAGTCGATTCCTTCGAGGTCGTACGGGCGGGGGCATAGATACTCCATTCCACGCAGGGAAGCAAGTGAAATACAGACAGCTCCTCGCGGGCCCTCGATGCGCCTCTACTGATCTCCGAGTAATCGCATGAGACCCCGGGAGCGGAATGAATCTGCTCTTCCAAAAATAATGCGGACCGAAACCCGGGTGACGATTTTGAGAGGCAGAATCCATCGCTTCCTGGAAATCAGGATCAGGCAGTCTCCTGCTCGCAGGACAGAGTGATGACCGGACTCCCCTCGGCAAGAAGATCTCATGGTGAAGCAGAAAGCCCGGTCTGATTGTATCGCTCGACGCGTTCGATGCGTCAGAGTCGGTCCAGGATGCCGCGCCTCTTCGCGCTAGCTTTGCCGAGTATGCTCTTCGTAGATCCGTACGCGCAGCTTTTTTCTAGACAGACCTGCGGGATGCGTCATGGAGGGACCGGGGTGCTCCGAGATCGTTCCGAGGGACTAGGAACCGATGAGAGCCGGTTCCAGCCACGGATGGGAATTCCGAACTTGAGATGTTTTCTTCTCTTTCTTGGAACGAGATACTCAAGCTCTTGACTGACTGAGCTCGACTTGAGCAGCAGAACGACTTCTTGGATCTCCATTCGTGTGCCATCTCGAAACTGCCAGCCTCGACGACAAGGACGACCAAGCTCCCCAAACGTCAAGGAGGCCGGTTCGAGGCTACTCCGACGCCGCGCCGTAGCCCATTTCGGCTCGAGACAACGCAGCCGGGGTCGCTCGACGCGTCGACTACACGGACTCGGGGTGACGTTTCCGAGTCTTCGCGAACCTGACGTCAATCTGATTCTTTTTCTGTCTGCAGCTGCACAGAAAATTCGAGTCTAACGTTGAACACCCAAGTTTTTCGATGGAGTTATCTTCATTGTCGCATCGATCGGGCTTCTATCGATAATAATTGTATGCGAAGAGCGTCGTGCAACTTTCAAGTTCTGAATGCCCTCGGCACCGGGACCGCTCTAGCCGAGGCATTCTCGATGGTATGCCGACTAAGCAAGGAGATGCGCCAGAGGTCCCGGTGAGGAAAGCTCAACTTTCGATTTTATCGCCCCGTGAAGTTCTTGTCCTTCCATTCCCCACGCCTACATAAGGCGGGGGAAATGCTCGATAGTCTCGCTTGTTTTCATCGTATTTCGCGTACTGGCAGTAGCTGTGTGCGGACTCGAAGCATTCTCTACTTTCTCTCGACGGACTTGCCAAGGAAATTTCTTATGCGGTGGAACGGTTTTGTCGCTTCCCTATCCCATTAGGAGGCTCCCCCCCCCCGTTTCTCGGACCCGGAACCGAATGAGCTGCAGTACCCCTGGATCGCCGGCATCCCATTCTCATTACTCCGGAAGATGGAGAGATATATGACTCTTATAAATTTAATATCGTGGGTTTCTCGATGTACGCTTTCGCGGAACGAATGTTCTGAAAATTATTCACTGAGGGCGCTACCAGCGCTCGGCGACCAATGGGAGGGCTCCGGGGAGAGAGTCGACCGGGAAGGTGAGGGTATACAAGCGGACCGTCGTAAGTCTCTACAGTTCAGAACACTTTGGCGACTTAGCTACACGGAGTGGTTTTGGAGAGTTTTCATCGTGCTCGTTATTATCGTGTGCTTTCAATGCTCGTCATCAACAGTGCTCATGAGTGATTGTTAGTTTTGTGCTCGGAAAGATATTCTCGATATCGTTGCGGATACACCAATGCCAATGGTTCTGCAGGCTAATTTGTTAGTCTGGGATAGAAGGGCTCCCGCCTCGCATTTTTTCTCGCCGAACCAAAATATCTCCAACAACAACAACAGCATCAGCAACAACAACCCCCAGAATCAACAACACCTGCCGCACCTTCAGCACCATGTCCTGAACAACAACAGCAACAATCAAATCGTTAGTAATCAGCATAACCATCATCAGCAGCAGCAGCATCTTCCGCCACAGACACCGGACGCCTTCGGGCTGGAGCCCTCCGCGATCAAATTTGAGCAATGGTCTCACGTGACGCATTTGCCGCCGGCACCTGCCTCGTTGTTCCATCCGCTGCAATTGTCGACGTTCGAAAGTCGGGCTCTTCAGCAGCAGCAGCAACAGACGCAAGTCGCGACGCGAAGTCAGACGCACATCTCTGCACTGTACCCTGAAATCCTCGCCATAATCTTCAGCTACCTCGACGTGCCCGACAAGGGCCGGGTGGCCCAGGTGTGCAAGGCATGGAGAGATGCCGCCTATCACAAAACCGTGTGGAGGGGTGTCGAGGCCAGGCTGCATGTTCGGAATCTCGCCAGAACGAATGCCACCCTGTTCCCGTCGCTGGTCCGACGGGGAATAAAGAAAGTTCAGGTGCTGAGTTTACGGAGAAATCTCAAAGAGGTTGTGCAGGGTGTGCCCAATCTCGAGACGCTCAACCTGATCGGCTGCTTCAACCTCACCGACAACCTGGCCAGCAGCGCGTTCTCGAACCAGATCGCTTCCCTGAACTCGCTCAACCTGTCCATGTGTAAGCAGATCTCAGACAATTCGATCGGCAAAATCGCCGGCAATCTCCAGAATCTCGAAACTCTGGACTTGGGCGGCTGTTCGGGCATAACGAACGGCAGCCTCATGCTCATCTCGTACGGTCTGAAAAAGCTCAAGAACCTCAATCTGAGATCTTGTCGGAATATCTCTGACCAGGGCTTGTCTGAGCTCGCCGGGCTCGGACCGCAGTGTCGGAACGGCGGCGTGACTTCGTTGGAGACGCTCTCTCTGCAGGATTGTCAGAAACTCAGCGACGACTCGCTGGGCTTCATAGCCGCCGGTCTCACCAACCTCAAGTCCATCAACCTGTCGTTTTGCGCCTCCGTCTCGGATAACGGCATGAAGCATTTGGCGAAAATGGCCAAGCTGCGTGAGCTGAATCTACGGTCGTGCGATAACATCTCCGATATGGGCATGGCCTACTTGGCCGAGGGGGGTTCGCGTGTTTCTGCGTTGGACGTCAGCTTCTGTGATAAGATTGGCGACCAGGGCCTACTGCACATATCGCAAGGTCTCGGACACCTAACCAGTCTGTCTCTAAACGCCTGCCCGGTGAGCGACGAAGGGCTCCGCCGCGTTGCCAAAACACTAGCACATTTGAAAACGTTGAACATCGGACAATGTGTCCGAGTGACCGACGTCGGACTGACATCGATCGCCGAAGGACTACAGAACTTGGAATGTATCGATCTGTACGGCTGCACGAAGATCTCGACCGTGGGTCTGAAGAAAGTTATGCAGCTCAAGGGACTCCTCGTCCTGAATCTGGGCCTCTGGCAGAAACGGTGACATGAGGAGGGGGTGGAGCGGTCCACCCCCGCCACTCTGGCACCGACTCCGGCTAAACGAAAGAGAACTCTTGTCGAAAGCAGCAGCAACAGTAGTAGCATAAAGTCTTCCAGGCCGATCGAACACCGTCAGAACACTGCGACCACCAACTACATGGAGCGTTAAGGAGCGACGTGCAATATCTATTCGGATTCCCTTAATGCGTTGATCTGCGGATGACAGAAACATGTTGAAATCAAGGTGTTCCGTCTCCCGACAGTCTCACTGTCCGGCAGGGAGTATCAGCACCGAAATTCTTCCTATCGACCCTGTGAATTTCCCACCGTCGGCGGATTCGAGCGAGACGCCCATCTGTACAGTCTCCATCCGAAAATGTGCTCTCGACCGGGTCTCGTTCGAGGTAGGGGGAATCACGGCGATCCAGGAGACGAACACGACCGCAGCAAGTTCTACGGCTAGGGCAGCGACGTTAACAACGACGACATCGAGTTTAACTCCTCTTTGACTTCTCTGTATATTGTATGTACATCACAGAATGCAGGAGAGCTACAGAAAGAGAAAGCGTACGGAACATTTTTCAGAAGATGGCGGTTTTCTATCGCTAGTCAACAGCAGGGCATTGGAATTTCTTCTTGCCCGGAAGGAATCCTAGTAGTGTTGGAACCTCCTTCTAACTTTCCACGTAGTTCGAATGGGTTCCGACTATCCAAATAGCGGGCCAAACCTGAAACCCGCATTATTGCAGATCTCAACTGTGCAAAGTGTGTGTAAATAATGTATGTTAAATGTTGACAATGAAATCAAGACGAACCAACTCAGAGAGGAAGTGCGAAAAATAAAATCACGACTTGTTATCAACCAACAATCATGCTCTCCGTTTGCCTGCTATGTATTCGATTACCTAGTCTTCCACGTCGGATCACCGTGACGCTTTCCTCTAGCGAGCGACTGGCGACTGGGAGTTCCGAACAGGAAACTTCGTGATAGTATCGCGAACATGACGTCAAAGCTCATCATACAACGTATTCTGTTCAATCGGGAATAATATTATGGAATAGTGAAACCCTTAATTCGACGCGGCTCGAAAGGGAGATATCAGTCGCAGGAAACACTAGAAGAGCTTTGAAAGCGATCGCGAGACATGATAATCCTAGGGCACCGATCGAGCAGCACTACGGTAGAAGCTCGAAGAAATGCTTTTTCACGTATACAGGTTTTGAGCCGTAAAGTTGTCGATTCCGAGCGCATTCGAGTCACGACCGGATCTGCGCCATGAAGTATCGAGCATTATCGAGACAAGCAGCCCTTCGGGAAAAAATCTCCATCGCTAGGGCCCGTCAGAGGAGAAAGTATCAGGATTCCAGGAGTTACTTCGAGGGAACGGCTCCGTGAGTTTGCTTAGAGTTCCGTTCAGGAAGGAAAAGAACGAGAAAAACTGGAACACAGGTGGCAATGACAACCAGCAGCTGACTCGAATTGTGCAGAACTCGTGCACCTGATGATATGGAGGATCAAAAAAATAAGGCTTCAGAATCCGTGGGAATCCTCGGCACTTCGTCGAGCCTAGCAGCGGGACGTCCCGGAGTCCGTTGCAACTCCAGACCACAACTAATCAACTTCAGAAGCGATTGGGAAAGGGCTTCGTGATGAAATTCCTCGTTTTACACCGACTGTGCGATGGCCGAAGAGAGCCCGTCTCGAGTGCTACCGGTCCTCGGTAGGCCGGGAAAAGTCTCTCCGAGATCTCCTGTAGAGGTCCAGGCTTCCAGCGATGATAGTTTTCCAAGCTCTCCGACGCACGATAACAGAGAAGTCTCCGTTTCGTTCTGCGATCAAGTCTCCGGATTCTGTATCAACTGTACTACCGTGTGATATATCATTTTCCGTCGCGGCTGTGCTCCAGATCTGGAGTAAACGAAAAACCCCGGAGCGCAGCTCTGAAGCGAGTCTTGCTCTCTAACACAGGCATACTTCAGAAGCGGCATATGACCCAAATACAATCGCAGCAGCATTGGTCCGAGCTACTGCTGCTGCCGTATTCGTCGTCAAATAGTAAGACCAGTTCCGAAGCCTGGGTTCTGGATTCTAGTTGAAAGAAAGAAAGAAAGAAAGAAAGAAAGAAAGAAAGGAAGAAAGAAAGAAAGACCCAGCAGTCACGGTGGAGCCAGAGAGGCACCAAAACCAGCGCTGTTCTACGCGGAAACCGTGCAGGTATCCTCAGTGAGACTCATCAGACCCGAGTGTCTCGGCCGATATTTTCACGTGTCGATGATGATCTCGTATCCAGTCGGGCATCGGCTTCAGTTCCGTTTGTCTGTTTGATTTGACTCAAAAGCTGCGAATCCCAGAAAGAGTGTTCCAGCGAGCACAGAACTCTCCATGGGAGAGCTTTTGTTCGAGATCCGACGAAGAGAAGGGAGGAGGTTGAAGAGGGGAAGGGGATGTATACAGGTGATCGGGGACGACTGATGTGAAGGAATTCACGCACCGGGGGAGTCTGGCTCGGATCAGAGCAGCGGAGAAGACTCGCTCAAGGAAACAAAAGGGATCTGGGGAGAAATGAATTTTTCCTTCCTGTACCCCCGTTCGCTAACGTGGAGCCAGTTTGCGGCTCTTCGATATCGAGACGCGCGATCAATCCGACGGGTTTTCTGGGTATATTTCGCCTAGCTCCAGGGCTCCAGGCGAGTTTCGCTCCGGAAAGGAATTCACGATTCAAGATGCAAACTCGAGACGTCGGAGGGTTTTGTCCCGATCCGACGGGGCCAAGAAAAAGAAGTACGCAGTATCTCGTAAGAGTATTCAGTTGCACGCCTGTTCGCTTGTAACCGAGTCGCTGGCTAGGCCGCTCGTTCGATGCTCGAGGAGGGCGAGCTCGGCGGGGCAGGGGCGGAGCGGGGCTGAGCATATGCATATCTTGCCTGTATGACCGTTCCCCAAGAGAGAGTTTGATCATTTCGCTCTTCTTTCAGTATTCGGTGCCCCAACGTGGTGCCCCTTCTACGAACGATGGCGGCGGCGGCGGCGGCGATGGTGGTGGTGGTGGCGACGGTGCTGGTCGTGCCGGGGTCGAAGACAACCAGGAACGGCTATCCGGCGATCTAGCAGCCCTGCGAGGTCCCGAGCACTCAGTTCGGTCGTAAGAACGCACCTCTGCCCTCTTTTTTTCCCTGAACTCGATCCGCAATCATTCGGATCGCGGATTACTCTCCATCGCGGGGTTTCCTCGCTGACGGGACGTGTCCAGAGCTTAGGAACGAATACCGCAACGTCGAGAAGGACGTCCACGATGAGAAGGAGCAACCATGAAATAGCAAGAACGCGACGATACAATATTTATAGAGCACCGAGGGCTCAGTCTGTCGGTCGATTCCTCGGTCCGTCCGTCCCTTGAAATCCGGCTCAGAGCGAGCGGCCGCTTTTCGGTGTTATAATATTAATGATATATACCCTCTTCTGCGACTCCTCTTCTCCGTGGCCGCAGCGTCGAGATCCCTCCGAGAGCTCCGACGAAAACTTCTTCCCGGGTGGAGAACGCTTCTTCTACTTCGCTTGATTCGGGAATCGGGGAATTCCGACTTCACCATCAGACTCATTGCGTTTTGCGTTGCGGTTCTCATCGATTTGCCCCATGCTCTCCACGACCCCGGAACAGACGGCGATTTTTTTAGAGCGTTCAAGCGATGATGATTCCATGGAACCAGATGGTCTCGTAGACTCTGTTCGCGGTTTGCATTTTCCATCCTGCGCAACATCGCCTACGACCGGTTTTGCCGCTCATTTTGGGATCGGGAATAAGACGATCGAGGGCGATTTCGTCGCGAATCGATGGCATGTATTTGTGTGGTCACGGTGAACCCACTCATTCGCAAACTACGACCTAGCACGGCAACGAACCTATGACGAGGAAGTCCCCGTCGTCCAGGTCCGGTTTTCGACTTCGACGATCCTTTTGCTCGAACCGGGCGTCGAGTGGTTTTGATCGAGTGATTTCCTGATTGCTTTCTCTCAAGGACTGCAAACAGATCGATTAGGGACTGAGCTTTGCCCCCTTACCACTCGTCCCGGGAGAAGCTTGGACTTTTGAACTAGATCCCTGGATAATCTAAAATCCGGAATCTATTTCTATTTCGCCTGATCCGGCCAAAAAGATTCCGGATTTAAAGCGAAGTCCCATGAAATATGTGGGCAACCACTTCAGATGCTCCCCCGTTTCGCCGAGCGCTCTTCGGCAACGACGGCGTTCTTCGCCAGTTTTTCTGACTATTTCATCATCAATCCCTTGAACGCAATGTCTGAAGAATTGAACGCTCATGAAAACCTTATTCCCGTAGTTTATCCACAAACAAGCAGAAGAAGAGATACACCGACCCAATGCATCCGTAGTATATCTTGCCTTCCTACGGTTCGCATTGCCAGGGGCTGAGGTGCAGTTCCATCTTCTCGTGGTTAATCTCTGGACAGCCAAGGGACCATCACCTTTAACCCGAGTCGCGGACGCGGAATCATTCGTTTTCCTCTCGTACGCTATGAATCTTCGTCGAGTAGTTGTGAGCGAAAATTCGAAGAAGAAGACCACGATTTCGAAAAGCAGCAGAAAGAACCGGAGGCTCTCTCCGAATTCCCTTCTCAGGATCGCCCAATGAATTTCGAGGCCATGATCTGTCCAAGAGAGGTGACTCCTCGCTTCAGGTTCGGGAGAACGCGATCGTCTGGAAGGGGGCGGTTGCAGAGTTGACTGACGGAAAGACATCTCCGTAATTCCACCGAATATGGCCCGTACCAGGAAAACTCCAGGAAAATTCTGAGCTTGTTGATCGACGGACATATGGATTTTCCCACGGATGCGCATAGTAGCCAAGATGCGAAAGTACCCTTGAATTTGAACTCGGGAAATGATTCGGCTACAGGAAGTTTCGTGCGAGTTGATTGACGGGGAAGGGGGGGGGCTCGGATGCGATATGAATAATCTTCTGACCAGAGGAATAGACCCCAGCCAAGAATTGCAACAAGCAGCCGCGGCCATAACGACAAAGCCCCTCTAAGAACGGCCCAGAAGCCCTCGGTCCTCCGATTCAGTCGCCGCCAACCCACTAGAGTTGAATATTCGCCGATGACTACATCTCCTACCGCTCGCTCGCTCGCCCGCTCGCTTGGTCGGTCGGCCGATTTAAGTTGGCTCGTCCGCGAACTGCCTGCCTGCCTAGCCCAAGCAACGACTGACTGACTGAGCGCACAAAGCCCATTGTGCTTGCCCTTGTCTGACTACGAACGGCGTTCCTAGTGCCGGCGCCTGTTCTACTGACTGATTCTAAAGCGACGGCGGCGATAGCGGCGGCAGCAGCAGCAGCAGACGCTGATGCCTAGAAGCTCAGCTCCACCGCAACGAATAAGGACGATCGACGGCGAAGAAAACTACGAAAGTGTATGTACGAGCGCCGGCAGAATACAGCGAAATCGCGCGAAGCGCTGGCCGCCACGGTCTGGTTTCCCAGAAGCTGAGCGGCACAATGGGCCATTCGAATCGGACGCGCATTGCACCTACAACGTGCTTGACTATCAAGCATACGGGTATTTACATGCGGTGTACGTTGACACGAGCTCAAGAAACGAGTGCTCGCCACACGTATGGTACGCACGTCAAGGTGCTCCCCGCTCTAGCCTGAAAGACTCACGAATGCCGATGGAGACCATGGATGGACTGGAATCCATCTCTCGCGTAACGGAGAATAATGAGTCAATCTTCATCATATGACTCATTCTATCGCATTCGTGGAGTCGGAGTGCGGGATCGCTGCTCTTCGCGGAATTCGATGACGTAATATACGTAGTGGATTCGAGGAAGCTCCTCCGGTGTTTACGTAT